GGCACCCCTGATGAAGCTGGGTGGCACCCCTGTAGAGAAAGGCTGGTGTAAATAAATCTAGCAGGCAGGTCCTTGCAAAAAAGGGCTATTATACTCACCTTTTCAGAGTCCCCTAGGTAGCTTTGAAAGGGTTCCATACTATGTATGCTAATAAGATTATTAAATTTTTTAAAAACATTTATACATAAAATGTACAATACTAATATTTTATGAGCAAAAATATATTTCAAATAATGATGGAACGCCTTGCATATGTGTAAAATGTTTTTCTACTTTTTAAGTGTTGTTTTACATTCAATACATAATGCATGCCTGTAAGGCAATATCTTTATGCCCCAGTACTGTAATTTTCAATACAATAAAACATTTGTAAAAAATCTGTCTTTTATTTCTAGAACATTTTTCTTAAAGCTGAAACAGAAGAAGACATCTTTACACACCTTGGCCTGGAATACCTGGAACCGTGGGAGAGGAATGCATAGCAAAGACAAAATTCATAAAATTCTCTTTACTTTATCTTGTGTCACTCTACTGTCATTTTTCTCACATGTTTTGTCTCACATTTACAAAGTTGCTTTATGTCCTTCACAATATTACATACTCGAGATTAACCTCAGATATACTTTAGCGAGACATAGGCTTCCATAAAGCTAAAACACAAGCTTGCTTACATAAAAGCATTACAGATTAATTTTCCATTGTAAATGCTTCTGGAACTGTACTTGAGATTCTTGATATAAAAGGTTAAGGGCCCTGTTCCATACCTGTCCAGGGTTGTCTGGGTCATTTAGAACCAAAGAAAAATATAATAGAGTATTGTTTTTCTTGTAGAAAAGAGGTTTAAGACCAGCCAGCTTGTAGAGTGCTGCTGCCTGTATCTAATCCAGGTCCACATTTCCTCACTGATGTCTTCTACTAGTTTAAAGTTGGAATACGGGACATGGGCTCTGGGGTTTGCTGGACAGCATTGACTAAATATATATTCCTCTCTCTATGACCCAACTAGGGGATAAAAGCACAGGCCAGTGAGGAAATAAAGCACCAGAGATGTAAGCATTTTAGAAATTATAGCAAGACACCATAGGCAACCTGCTTATAACAGGGACCACTAGCAGCCAGGCAGGACCGAGGAATAGGTATGTATATCTTATTTAGTTTATCTCCTTAGGGCCGTTCACACCACAAAGAGTGCGTTCCAGACCGCTCTGCCTCAGGAACGCACTGAAATTCAACTCGGCCGCCTCCCTGCGTTTAGGGGCAAGAGGGGGCATGGAGGTGCATTGAAGTCCCTGCGCCCCCTAAATGCAGGTAGATGGCCCAGGTTGCATTCCAGTGCATTCCAGAGGCCAAACGCTCTGGAACGCACTCTTTGTGGTGTGAACCGGCCCCTAGACCAAAATGAGCAGTTAACACTTGCAGTGCAGGGGTAGCCCCACTGCAAAGGTTATTTTATTAAATTCCTGGAGTTCCTCTTTTAAGAAAACCTGTACTTAATCCATCCTGGTAGCCTTTAGCTGGCACTTTAAGGCTCCTGTATAATCAGGTTCATTATTGATTTCAGCGCCCAAGGTAACCAAATCTCAGCTCAAAGTAATCTGCAAAAATCAGTCGAGTTGCTTGAGTTGAGTGATTACCCCTACTCTCTCTAGCCTTCAAAGGCTCATTATTGGTAAGTGAGAAGTGCCCTCACAGTGATATGCCAATAGCAGGGTTTAAGAGGTGGGAGGGATCGGGGACCCACTCATTCCAATGCTTCTAGAGCATTGGAATGGATAATAGACCATGGAGGGACCAGCTAAGTGCTACCAACATGGATTATGTTCTTTTATTACAATTAAGGTTTACTTTAAAGGTCCAATTGAATCTAAAAGTTCTCCTACGTTTGAGTACTCATCTCCTCAAATCACTTACTGGCCTATTATATGTACTGTTTACCCTACAGGTGAAATCTGCCCGTTGAGCTATTCTGCTTTATGCAGCAATTCAAAAGTCAAGCAAGGGTAACTTCTCACATGGAATTCTACTAATGTGTAATACAGAGGTTCTCAGCCTTTGTATGCAAGACCCTTGTACAGATATGAAACATTAAATCCCTCACAAAACAAGTTTAAAGATGTATTCAGGCTAAGCATGAACTTATTTATAGTGTCTACGGCAGAATTGTTTATATATATATAAAAAAATTACAGTTTCTAAAGCAGGTATGCAGATAAGGTGATTGTACGGCCCAGACTCCCAGAATAATGTGCTATCTCTGATCACGGTCATTTAAAGGGACTCTGTCAGGGCAGCAGTTATCTGTCATGGCTGAGGATGCCATTGCCATCTATTAGAAGAGGTAATCTCACTATTGCACTTGAAAGACACAAAAAAGCTGATGGGTCATTCAACCTGAGAGAATCCATCAAAAGCTATAGGCTGTGATTGATGAGCTGATTTCCTCTGCATAGCACATCTTTTGCCCAGTAAACTCACTGGCATGTATCACTCTCAGCATCTCATGGATCTCAAATATATAATAACATAGAACCCTAAATGGAATTTATTTATAACACAAATGTTACTTCAGTGTGACATCTCAAACGCTGTCAACACATTGATTTTCACAAACAGTTGTGAACGCTATTAATGGATGCTCGATAACTAGTGTTTTTGGTAACATTTTATATCACATAAATGCTATGCTGCATGTGTTTGTTTTACTCCTTTCTCTTCACACTCTCCCATTATAATGTAATTTCTTCACAAGAAAACAGCATGAAATAAAAGGTCTTTTGTTACCGTGTGTCATGCCGTTTATTGCTGTTTTGAGTACTGATTCTTTAACCTTCATATAGTGTATGTGCGAGAGAAGACACCATTGCGGAGAGCAGAGGGGGACTTATGGAACTGATTACCGCCCGCTATTAAAATGTTTTGTTATATTTGTTTATATGTGTAAAAGAGTACCTTTTGATATTGTCATAAACCTTGGGAGCTTGAGAGCTTATCAGGAGTGTAACTAGAAATCACAGGGCCCCATAGGAAAATTTTGTATGCCCCCCCAAAAAATGCTACTGAACAACACATTGCTACAGTCATTTGGCACAGTGCCTGAGCTACAGCATGTATTATTATATATGATATGATTACATGCAGTTAGAAAACAATCACTATCCTTAGATGCAGTGATTGTGCATCCAGGGATAGTGATTGATTTCATGTAATCATATCACATACCATTACATGAGGTGGGCAGGCGTTTACATGCATCGGCTGTCACCTGATCATTAAAGGAGAACTATGAGGTGAGTGCTTTTCACTCACCTCATAGTTCTAGCCAACCTGTGACAATGAGACTGTCACAGGTTGACTCAGTAGATCGGGAGGTGAGCAAACACATACCGGCATTCGCTCACCTATCGATCCTGTCACTGCTCTCTGCCGTGACAGGGGAGGGGCTGGATTCCCCCCTCCCCACTCCGATCCACCAGCGCTGGCTGGCGGAACGGACGGGGGAGGGGGCAGGTACTCTAGATAGGCAGAGCCAGCTGTCAGTCACGCAGCTGGGCGGATCCCGGGACAATTGTCGGGATCTGCTTCAGCTGCGGCGACTCAGTATGCCGCGAGCAGCAGCTTGCGGTATATTGCGGCGTCTCAGTATACCGCGAGCTACAGCTCACGGTATACTGAGCCTAGGGTGATGGGAGGACGCTAGTTTGTGTCCTCCCGTTACCCTAAGGAGAACCATGGGGAAAAGACTTAACCCCATAGTTCTCCTTTAACTTAAATGGATGACCGCTGCCGCTTGCAAATGCCAGATTAGGGACTTCTTACACAGGAATCCCTAATCGCACCTAAACTTACAGGTGTGAATGGGGTGAATACACACACATAGAGAAATACATCCCCCAAACAAATACAAACACTAATGCAGAATAATACACCACCCTCATCGTCGTCCCCCTCCCCTGTGTCCCGCACAGATCAAATTAAAAAAAACCCCATCCCCTGCACATTCCCTGGTAATCCAGTGGTTGATTAGTAAGGTCTGGTGCAGACCTTACTAATCCTTCCTTTTGGCCGAAGCTCAGAGCTGTCAGAGATCCAGCCGATCAGAGCTAGTTATTGCCGGCGCTGACAGGAGCAGTTATGCGGTCTGCATCTGACAGAGATGCAGACCGTGTAGCTGCGGGCTGGATGGTAACGGTTCACGGGCTGAAATTGGCCTGTATGCCGGTACTTGGAGACCCCTGCACTAGAGGCTGAGACTAGACTCAGCCTACCTTCCTGCTGCTGATCTGCCCCCCCTTCCCCTTTCTAAGGTGCAATAAATGGCATTGTTTATTTATTTTCCTTGGGTTTAGATACACTTTAACCCTTTTGTTGCCAGAGGCATTTTTTTTCTTGCTCACACGCATGCTAAATTGCAGTTTTTTTAACATTACAACAGACCTAAAGCCCAAAACTAGGGATGTCCCGATACCACTTTTTCAGAACCAAGTACAAGTACCTCCCCTCATGTACCATACCATACCATATCATAAATAATGTATTGACTTCATATTAATATTGAAATGCAGTAATCAGAAGCACATTAAGACAAATAGACACACTTAATACAAATAGACACACAATCATTTTCAGGATAATAGGGGATTTTTTTCTGGTTAGATGATAGTTCTGGTTAGTTGAATACCGGATAAAAGAGAGTTCACTGTACTATTGATATATTTGAAGACTGTTTTAATTTTTTGTTTTCTACGGCAATATGCTGATCATAATCTATTTTAGCTGCCATGATTATGCTCTTGCATCTCTTACTGCATTTCTTGTAGCCCTGAATTTGACTGTGTACATAAGTTGAGGTTTAGGGATATATAAATCACATATCTATGGCACCACCTAGTCACATTGTGGTGTATTTTTCACACACTGATGATCCTGTGAACATAATAACTCCACTAAACACAGTTCAGTTCAGGGGAATGGGAGATATCCCTGTGGTCAGGAATTACAAGAGGCTTATTGACCTATTGGTGTACAAGTAATTGAAAGAGGCTAAAGCCAAGTCAAATTAAAATGACTATACTGCTTTCATTTAGCAAAATATACTTAATAATGTATTAATGAATACAGAGCTGCATCCATTTCAGTCTTGTATATCTGCCTGGAATTCAGCTTTAATCTTAATAAAAGTACAGTATTGTTTTGACATTTTTGGAACTTACAGAGTTTGTTGAGTTGAAATGACCAACTTCTATCATCTAAAATTCTCCTTCTTTCTCTGTTCCTACCACCTCATATTTAGCCCTAGATAAATACTTTGAGGATTCTGGGAGTTTCATAAAATACCCAATAATATTTGCAGGATCTTTGTCCTCATATGTAAATGTATTGGCTTGTTAAGTGTTCTTTAGTGTCCAGATTCTGCCATTAGTATTTTATAGAACCCCAAGCAGTAATAGGCATAAGTAATATTTAATAGTAATTGATGATAGTG